GAAGTCCAATATCTACGGGTGGTGGATTTTTATACAAAAATTAAAAGGAAAAAAAAATAAAATTTCATAAATACATTTTCAAAGAGAGACACGAATAAAAAAACAGTGAAAGGAGAATAAACCCATTTAAGGAAAAGTGAGATGTAATAGTATTTATAATTAGATAAAGTAGGAATACAAAATACTAAATGAATAAAAATTAAATAAAAAACAGAAAAACAAAAATGTTTCATAAGTTTTGAGATTTAAAAAATAAAAAGTTAAAGACTTTTCAGTTGAAAAAGAAGAAAAGAAATTTGAAAAGAACTTTTTTTGGATAATTGGTTATGAACAAGCAATTAACATTGTTCGAGAAACTTACTCCTTTACTTAATTGTATTCAAAACGTAAACTTAAAAAATGAATTTAAAAAATGTATTGAAGAAAAAGAATTTATTAATACTTTACAAGATGGAGAACATACAAAATTCATTGACTTGGTTATTCAATTATTTTATTCTACACAAATATCTAAAGCAAATTTATTATTAGACCTTATTGAAGATATGTTAGCAAATGGATATATTAGACATATCCCATCGCCAACATATCCAGATGTTATTAATGAGTTACTTTATAAATTACTCACTGCAAATTTTCCTAAAACATCTACAGAAGAGTATTGTCGTTGTTTATCAACATTTATCTGTTCAACATTTACTGAAATGCATGGTGTACAATTACAAAATACGGTAAGTAAATTATTAAGTTGTAAGCAAACATTATATCACACAAACGTTGTAACATTATTTGCTGCAAAATATAAGTCTTCAATAGAAACAAATAGTGATATTAAATATAAAGATGTTATAGTATTTATGCGTTCAATAGCATATATGATTTCTAAACATACAGAAAATTCAATTTATTATTTAACATTATTTATTACTCAATGTTCAGAAGAACTTAAGAAAGACTCGCCTCAAAGAGTTCAAAATATTATTGATATTATTTCTCCAGAATTAGGATTTTCAGAAGTAATTGATTTGATTGAATTATGGAGATGTATTATTAAATATTCCTTATTTCAGTTAATTCCATGGTTAGGGATTTGTATTAAAAGTGTTTCATTAAATCCAAATAAAGCTGCAATAACAGCTATTAATGAAACAATTTCCAGTGAAAAATTACCAAGATTATTTATATATGGTGATTATCAAATCAATCAATTTGATATATTTAAGAATATTGTTTCTATATTACTTCAATTAATTAATAACAATGATTTAATCGCTCTTGGTTTATTAGCAGAAATTATGAGAAGTCTTGCATTATTTAATGACGATATAATAAATAAAGAGAATTATTATTATGACACATTCACAAAACACCAAGCCCTTAAAGAACAAATTAAGGAGTGTGTTGTTTTATTTAATCAAAAAGGGTTTTCAGGTATTGATAAATTAATTCAAATCGGATGTATTAGTTCCAATGCAAAAAGTATTGCCAGGTTTTTAATGAGTGATGCATTATCACCAGAAAAAGTTGGGAATGTTTTGTGTAAAAATAATACATTATGTAAAGAATGTTTAGAAGAATATATTATGAATTTAGATTTATATGATATGGAACTTGACCAAGCAATGAGAAGATTGTTTTACCGATTTCAAATGGTTGGAGAATCACAAATTGTTGAAAGAGTTTTTGGGTTATTCAGTAAACGATATCTTCAATGTAATATAAAATATAAAGACATTTTAACAGAAGAAAAAGTAGAACAATTTTCTACTACCCTATTAATTCTTGCAACTGAATCACATAACTCCAATGTAAAATTAAAAGTTGTTGATACTTTTGAAAAATTTAATAATATAATTTGTAAGGACTTTCAAATTCAATATGAAACTAAAGAATTATTACAAATGTATCGTAGAGTTCAAAATACACCATTTGTTCCAAGGTCTATTTCACCTATTACTCGACCAGTTAATATATTAAATGAACCTTTCATTGTTCAACCAATTAAAATGACAAAAAGTATTGCATTTTGTATGTTTGAAATTGTTTGGAAACAAATAACCCAAATAAAAAATTTTACAACAATTCATTCAAATTTATTATTCACAACACTTCAAACTGGTTGTTTATTAGAACGAAATGAAATAAAAGAAATAAGTACATTAATAGAAAAAATCTCAAATTCAGACCTATCTTCAAAATTCACAGAGCAAGACGTTATTTGTATTGGAAGAGTTATTATTAGTATGTCTGAATGTTATACTTTATTAAAACAAGCTTGGGAACCTCTATTAAGTATTGTAATAAATATTAAAATTATAAATCAAGCAAGGGATACGAATTCAAGAAATTCATTTAAAATAAATGAAAGAAAACAATTAAGAGAACCAATATATAATTTAATGTTTAAAATAAATGAATCTCAAATACAAAAAATTGATTTAAATCATTTAGCTACAGTAAATGATCCTGAAAATTTATTTAAAATGATTGACTTTTCATTATTAGAACAAACACTTCAAACATTGGAAATATCTGAAGATGTAGTTTATAGTGATTATATTAAAGGATTAATTGGAGTTATTAAAAGTCGTATTAATGATTTCCCTATTATCCCATTACAATATTTATTCTCTTCTGCTTCAAAAAATTATTTAAGACCTTTAAATTCAATTACTGAAGAAATATTAAATCAAATTATCAACTGTTTTGTTGCTTGTTCATTTCATCCTTATTCAAAAGTAAGTTATCTCTCTTTAGATTATCTCAAACAAGTTATTCAGTTGTATCATTCTCATTATAATGCTTTTATTCCAATTATTTCAGACAGTCAAGATATTAATATTCGATTTAAAGCTTTAACTAATTTATTTGATTGTGATGTACCTAAAAGTGAAGTAGATATATTATATGATAGTCTTCAAGTAATTCCTGATATTAGTGGTGATGTAGTAGATTTAGCATTAGAAAAAATTGTTTATTTATTTTTAAATTATCCACATCAAAACAAGATAATTTCAGTTTATTCTTTATTAGTCCATGAAACAACCAACATTAATCTTCTTAATCCAATTAACCAATGTATTATTCAATTCATCAAAGAAAATGAAGTCAATACGTTATCTCTTCAAATGATTGCTGTTGTAGCATCAAAAATTACTGATTCTTCAGTTGGAAAAGAATGTTTTAAAATCATTGAAGAATGTTCTGAAGAAATAAATGATGATTTATGGATCAATAGATTGCTTAATAGTCGTGACGAACATTGGATTAAAATTATATTTCCAAATATTTTTATGAGTAAGAAAATGAAAAAATGGAAGAATGAACTTGTATCTTATTCATTATTTATTTTATTAACGAGTACTAAAGAAGTTCAAGAAATTATTTTTAAGTTATTAGAAGTAGAATTTCAAGAAAATCCAAATATTGCTGTTCAATTTATTAATGAATTATCAGAATATATTTTTGTTGGTGTAGTTGATAATTCACCAAAGAAAAAAATAATTAATAGTACTTATGATAATTGTAATCTGGAAGAATGTTATGAATGTAAATGTAAAGTTAATTGTTTAAATAAACAATGTGTATATTGTCAACATAAATATTGTGATAAATGTATTGAAATATTTAATTCTCACCAATGCAAATTAACTATTCCTTCATTAAGTTCTCTTGCTAAAATAGACATTGAAATTAATGAAGAAATCATTGAATATTTTTATAGACTTTGCTCTGCATTATTACGTTCTTCATGCTCAGAATTAAATATATTCAATTGTTTAATTAAGACAATACATACTTGGAGAAATCTTTATCTCAATAACTCATCTATTATTCTAAGAGATAACATAATTCAAAAACATTACACTAAGTTATATATTGCCCTAATCTCATTACTATTTGAAATAGGAACAAAAGAACAAACAGATATTACTTCAATGGTTATAGAAGAATCTAAAGACATTCTAATTCTTTTTGTACAAACAATTTCTCCATCAACATACCTCCCAGAAGAACTTATTTTGACTTTATTAACAAAAGTACTAACCATTTCATCAGATGAATTAGTTTGTTGTTGTAAATTATTTTCTTTAAAAAAAATAATAATAATCATTCTTATCAATTAGTTTAAAGAAATGTATAGTATTATTCAGCCATATTTGATAGAGACTATTCTTACAAATATCCAACCTATAAGAAAGGTTATTGCAGAGATTATGAAACGAAATTGTCAATTTAAATAATTATTATTTCATTACTTTTTTGTTTCATTTATTAATATAAATCTAAAAAGATCAGACTTATACAAATATCAACACGTTAAATCAGTTCTAACATGGAATTTATATATCATCACTTCTATTTTATTTTTTTCTCTTAATTTTATTCTTCATAAAACCAAAAAGAAAATATAATTATGGGTTTTCATTTTTTTATTAAAATTTTAAAAGAATTTTATTAATAAATTATTCTTTTCATAATTTATTTTTCTTTGTTAATAATTTTATGATTTTTTTATCTTTACCAAAATGTTAAGAAAATGACTACACAAGAACATTCTTATGAGTCACTCAACACATCCCATTGCAGGTAATGTCTCCATACTTAGTGTATTTAACAAATTTCTTGTACTGAAGGAATTGTTTCATTTGTTTTTATGTCCTAATAATTCCATAATATTCTCATTGTTTCAAACCCATAATGAAACGTTAGAATAAATTAAGGTTTGTTACAATGAGTATAATACAATTTTCCTCATACAGAAGTCAACTAATGAAGTTGAGTCATGTATTTTTTAAAGAAGATGAAAGAACATTTTCTTTGTATATTTGTTTAGTCATCTTTACAATAAATAAATCAGTATTTGGTACAGTTTTTAAGGCATCTTGCACTAATGAAAGAAAAAAATAATTTACTATAATAAGGTCTCTGTATTTAAATAACTTATACTAATCATTGTGAACTTCATTGTCACAAAAAAAATACATGTCATTAATCCAATCTTGCTGATCGTCTCTATCTTTAATACCAAGAGAAAATTGAAATTCAATTAATGTAATAAAAGGAAATTGATTCTTAAATTGCTACTCAACATTTTCATATGCTTCAAATTCACACAGGTTATAAGAAACATCCTTTAGTTATATAAAATTTCTCTGTTTGCACTGTTTCTGGTAGTTTTTTAGTGTTTTAATTAAGTCATATACACTTCCCCTTAGTTCATATCTTTCTTTAGGAGCAGTCAACAAGAGTAAATTGATGTAGTAAGTTTTTTCTTGATACAAACAAACACAAAATAAACAAACAAAACAAAACAAAAGATACACCACCTCATTTTGTTTCTTTTCTTTCTTTTTCTACACAAAGTTTTTAAAAAAAAAAGTTAATGAATAACAAAGATAGGAATGAAAGTAAAAAGGGAAAATCAATGTTAGATTAAATTTGATTAAAATAAAGTACTTAGTGATATTAAATATGCAAATCAAAAAGAAAAGAACTTAAAAAGAAAAAGTATCGATTTATAAGATCTTTAAGGAAAAAATCTTATTAACACTATTGTTATGACTTACCAAACTACAAGAAAAACATTTTTAATACCAACAAAAAGAATTACACAATTTGGAAGAACAACATATCATCTAAATCAACCACAAATTAGATTAATTCAAACAATTGAAGGAACCAAATATGTTGGAGTATCATTTTCATCTTCATATTCAGCAAATAAAATTATTCTTGAAGCACAAAAACAAATGTTAATAGATGAAGAAGGAGAGAAATTATTTTGTTTATATAATTTACCATTTTATTTTGATGATCAAACAGAAGTATTGTTTGTTATTATTTAAAAGAAATAAATAAAATTATCTAATAGAAATAGAAATACAAATACATTTTATTTATTTTGTTTAACATATGGATATTCTCCTGTTTATGAAATATTAAATAAAAAATATTGTAAAGAATATAAACCAATTGAAGTTTTTCTTCAATATTTAAAAACATATCAAATTAATTATGAAATTATTGGATTTGAATATCTTACTGTTTTAAAATCAATACCAGAAGAATGTAGAGATTTTAGAAGTTCATTAGCACGTGTTAGACAAGAAGAATTTGAATGGGCAACAAATAATTTTGATAAAAAAATTCTTGAAGAGAATGAATATGTTTATATAGAATCAGAACCTCCTATTACAGAATTTAATTTAGATAAAATTCGAATTAATGGAAGATATGGAACTGATATGTCTATGAAAACTATTGTTCATTTACCATCTGATTCAATTGAAGAAGTTATTAAGAATTTATTTACTAAATTACATACTATGAAACCTTCTATATTTAATGAAAATGCACAACCATCAGATTTTGTTTTAAAAGTTAGAGGATTTAATGAATTTATTATTCCTTATAAACGTGATGGAAGTAAATATTGTTTAAGTGATTTTGATTATATTAGAAAATGTATTCATCTGAAACTACCTATTGATGTAGTTTTATTTAATAGAGAAAATATGCATCATAATTTATGGAATGAAAATACTATTAAAATGATGAAATATTTTGATCAATTTGTTGGAAATAATAATTGGAATCTTATTCAAGATGAAACTCGTTGTCTTTCTCAAAGAGAATGTCAAACTCCTGTTTGTATTCAAATTATTTCAGCAGAAAGAATTAAACATTATAAAATAACTAAATTAAAAGATGACAGTGAAATAGTAAACCTTGAAGAAGATTTAAAAATTTATATTACTGGTTCATTACATTATGGAACTCGTTTATTAGTTAGACAAGAATTTACACCAGTATATCAAATTAAAGAAGGTAAATTACATTTAGATTCTCCTATAATGATGACATTTAATATACTCATATCAACTCTTCCTAAAGAAACAAGACTAACATTATCAATTTATATGACAGATTCCCCTATTAATTTACAAGTATTAGAAATTAATAAAAAAGACATTTGTTTAGCAACTATTAATTGTAAATTAGTTGATTATAATGGTTATTTTATGAAAGGATTATTTAACGTTGGAATGTGGGAAAGAACTGAACCAAATCCTATTATGATGTGTTGTGAAAATACTTCTTCAAACACCTGTAAATTACATTATCGAATGATAGAATTTAATAAACCTGTTAAAATGAACACATTTATTGCAAATGAACAAGAGTTAAATACTAACATAACAGGTTCTGTTAAGATTGATTCTGAACATACACTAAGATTTAAATATGCTGTTGAAGCTGATCCATTAACAGTACTTAGTCAAGAGGATTGTAGATTATTATGGACATATAGATCTTTAGTAATGAAAACAAAACCCCGCTCTATAGCAAGGTTAGTTTCTGCTGTTGATTTTACTCAA